CTTTAAAATCAAGCCCCTTTGCATCTTTTAAGCTTTTCCATTGGTCTGGCCTATGGGTTCTGCTGCATACTTTAAATTGGACCTTGGTGGTGAGTGTCTTTTCAATACAGAAAATAACCACAGGGATCCAGATTTTTCAGGGCAGTCTCAGTTTCTCTTATTCTATCTCAGTGGCTCATAAGAACACATTTGGAAATTGAGAAAAACAGCCATTGTAGTTCATTCCGGTTAATTTTCCAAACACTGCCTTTAAAGATACAAACCATCCAGAATATACTCAGTACCCATCATCCTGTCAAACACTGGCACCTTCATCTCATGTAGAAAGTTGAGCCACAAATAAACTGGACAAGAGGCAAATGATGCACTGATTTAAAAATTTTTTTAAAGTAGGAAATAGCCAAGTATAGCCAGAGCTACAATTTTCTTAACATGCATATATTTTGATGTAGGCATAAAGAGTATTAATTGGCTTTTCTTTCTTCACTTCAACGTCCTTATCAGTGCCCCCATCTCCACTTGCTGACTTTGCATGAAAGTGCCTTAAAGACAATTTTCAAAGTGAAAGGTAGGAGCCTGCTGCTTACCTCCTCAAAAGTCAGCTAGAGTGCAACATGCCCTGCCTTGAGCTTCATTTCATGCAGTTAACAAACTTTTTCTAAGCTACAAGATTCTCCCTGGGTCTTTGATCTTGCCCTGACACCTATAGGTGATTTAGGAAAGAATGAGATAGATCCTCTAGTGTGGCTACCTTCCCCTTTTATCAAACGACATCAGGTTAGCAAAAGTCATTTCCACAATAAGGGCATGGCTTGTAAGAAAAAAGGAGCCCTCACTCTTTCCACTGTCATCCTGGTCTCTACTCCTTCCTTGTTTAGGATATTCTGTATGGGAGAAAAGTGTTGAAAGTGATCTTCTATGGAAATCAAAAAGTAAGGAAAGAATATAGGCAAAGATGAAAAAGGGTACATTTCAAAGCAGTATCTTGAATTTAAAAGCATTAGAAGAATATGGATGCCTCATTTTTTAGATTTATGCAAATGATCATGCAATGACTATAGCATCTCTTTAGGGTTCCTATAGCAAATTATTTCCTTTTTCATCTCTGTGCATGCTATGCACATATTTTTATGTTGCCAATAGGCAAACAGTTTCAAATTGGGTGATTATAGGCTTTGGAAAGCAGAATTATTTCCGACTCTGACAGCATGCGTAACTTCCTGAGTGCCTCACGGATTCAATGTAATTACCATATGTTATAAATTTGAAGGTAGGCAAATTCTAAATCAGATGCTTAGGAGCTGGAAAAGACACAGATGATGAAAAATAGCTCTGGAAAAAACTGGATTCAAAGAAGGGATGTACGTGCAAATGCCAATAGTCATAATTTTATTATAGACCAATCATAGCTTTATTTCAAAGTTTTGTTCTGCCTCCCCAAATCTTAGAACCTCACTGTCCTCTTATGAAAAATTAAGTCTTAAGATACCTTTCTGGCTTTCCATTTCTAAGATCAAGCAAAGTGGCCCAAAGATACACATGAGAAAGAGACAGTGAATTCCCTCTGCCAGTCTCCTTTAGAGAAAGGTCCTAGAGACATATGGTGGGAACTGAAGTTGCTGAAAAATCATGAAAAGCAAGAGTAAGAAGCATCATTCAGATTCAACATTAGTCACCAAAGCTACTGTTAGGCAGTGTTGCAAATTGGTTCTCAAAGCGTGGCCCACATGCCACTAGGAATCCCTGAAACCCTCTCATGGCATCTGCAAGGGTAAACCTATTTTCATAAAAATATTAAAAGGTTAGTTGTTTTCAATCTGTTGACACTGACACTCATGGTGCAAAAGAAATAGTGGATAAAACTGCTGCCACCAAATAATGCATTTATTGTATCCTTCACCCCATACACTCAGGGGAGGGGGAGAAAGCCAGCTTCAGTTAAGAATAGCCTTAGTTTTTCTCAACATAGTATTCCCGGCAATAAAAAATACAATAAAATAAAAAAAGAAGCATGCCCTTAGTTAAGCAATAAAAATTATTATCATTATTATTTTTGGAGACAGGGTCTCGTTATATTGCCCAAGCTGGAGCACAGTAGCTATTCACAGGCATGATCACAGCTCACTACAGCCTCGAACTGTAGTCAAGCAATCCTCCTACCTCAGCCTCTTGAGTAGCTGGGACTACAAGAACATGCCACCACACCTGCCAAAATTATTGACTTTATCAAAGCTTCCTCCTTGATTATACATCTTTTCAATTTTCAGTGTGACAAAATGGGAAGCTCACATAAAGCATATCTGTTGCCCACCCAAGTATCATGGTCATGTCTTGAGGAAAAGCATTTGTGCAGCTGTTTGACTTGCAAGCTGAACTAGCCATTCTTTCATGTAATGTCAATTTACTTGTAAAAATGACTGTCAAACTATGATAATTCGGTTTGGGGTATCTGGCAGGCATTTGTTCAAAATGAATTAAGCCTGTCTTTCAGGGAAAACAACAGACAATATTTGTTGTCAATGACAAACTGAGTTCCAGACAAAAGCTACAATTTTGGAAAACCTATGTTCACCACCCTCAGTTTGAAATCGCTTCCCAATACTTAAGGCATATTCTGATCAGACTGGTGATTATTAACAAATGCAAATTTTTTTTAACATTGTACAATGATACATTTCAATATTTGAAAGATCAAAATAACTTAGTGAAACAATGTTTCCCAAATGACCAATGCATGATGTTCAGAAATCATGCCACAAGATCATGCGTGGGTAAAAAGACCCAATCTAAGTATAAGAAAGCAAAGTGGATTTTAACATAACAGAGCACACAAAGTTGATTGATATGGTTTCAGACTCTATATCACAACTACCTTTAAGAATTTATTACCATTTTTGATTTTGGTATACCTTTTTTGGTATTCCAAAAAAGAATATCCATAATGGTCCAGATCCTTAAAAAAACTCCTTTCTGTAAGTGTGTATGTGTGTACGGCCAGATTGTCTTCATGTACATCAACTGAAACAACATATCATGACAAAGTAAATGTAGACACAGGAGAATCCACCTGCCTTCTACTAACCAAACACTAAAGAGATTTGCGAACATGTAAAACAATGCTGTTTCTGCCATTAAATTTTTTTTCTTTGGAAAATAGTTATTTTTCATGAAACATGTTACGTTAATATATATTGTGTTAATATTTATGCTAATATAACATTTATATTTACACATTTAAATTGATATTAAATGTTGAATTTATTAAATACATTTAAAATTTATCAGTTTTAATTTCTAATAAGGTAAACATTAATAGATTCAACTCATATAAACAAAAGCTTATTGGGATTCAAACATAATTGATGACTACGAAGGGTTCCTGACACCAAAAAAATTGAGAACTGCTGGTTTAGATGATAGGCTTTAGATTTGGGCACATCTACATTCAAATCTAAGGCTTCTAAATTGTGTGGATTTAGTAGCTGACTCTCAGTATTCTCATCTGTAAAATGGGGGTCCAGAGGTAAAGGTCAATAATAAAAAGATTTTTGCAAAAAAAAAACCAAACAATACATTTAAAGTGCCTAGCATAGTGCTTAACAAATGACAAAATTGATTATGATCTTGATAGTTTCCAAAACAGCATCATCTAGGAGTAAATTAATCATAGGCTCGCATGATACACATACACACATTGTAAGCATCTTAGAAGCAGCCTTAGTCACTCTCCTGTCTTTCCTCTCTTGGCCTGGCCCAGCCAGCACTGACTGGCAAAGAAGCCTGTCAGTCCAGGAGGGAAGACGTTCGCTAAGCAGTTCCTCAGCTCCCTTGTCCACAAACCTCCTCCCTCCTTGCCAACTTGCCACATTCCTCCTGCAATCTCATGCCTGTTCTCTCAACTCCCCAACGAGATAAAGCGAAATGAGGATCTTTCAGAACTTCTGAGCCTTGCAATCAGGATAAAAAGTAATTTTCCGTCATTATAGGCAGTTCTACTACAATAAATTACCTGCAAGGAGAGACAACCTACACCTCAGTTCCACAGAATGAAGCCGGTGAATCTATCCAGCTCGCCCTCACCACCGCTTGAATCGTATCACCCTGACATCCAAAGCGTCATGACAGCTGCCTACTCACATTGCACAGCCAGTGGTTCTGACAGTGCACGGTTCATACCAAGGGTATTTCAAGTAATTTCAAGAGCTTAGATAAGTCATAATCCAATTCTTCTCTATTATTATAGTTCCTAAGAGTAAGTGAATGGGATTATTTCTAGCCCAATTCTTATTTCAATTTGGCTCAAAGAAAATTAATTTCCTTTCTCAGAAGACTGCTCCATTTATAGAGTTTTCGGCTTATATCAAAACTCAGAACAAGCCCTTTGCTTGACAAAGCTGCAGCTTAGAATGTTATCTTGTAATGCCCAAGACTTTAACCTTGAAATGCAAGCATGTGCCAAGAATAATTTTTTAAGAACAAGGAGATTTTAAATGTAATCCCTCCTTTTAATTTCTGGGAATCAAAATCTCCTAGGTCAGGGTCATATGAGACAGAGATGGTAACTCTCTCTGCCTTAGGGAATTCGTTAGAGAGATATATAATATTGCCAAATTATTAGAAGATGTTATTTGCAACAAGCCTAACAAACGGCTATCATATATTGCATAACTACTATGTATCTGATTCAATATTAGGTCTTTATAAATTATCTCATTTGATCCTTACAACAGTCCTATGAGGTAAGAAGTCTTATCCGCATTTTATGGATGAGAAGTTAACTTAGGTCACATGGTAAGTACAGAGAACTTACATAACTTATCCAAAGTCAAGTAACTAAAAAGGGGCATGGCAAAAATTTGAATCAAGATCTCCTTTTCCATAAGGCAAATGGGCACTGAATTATCATTCTATTATGGTAGCTTAAAAAATGCAATAAAATATATGGATTCCTTATATACTTGCATTCTAAGAATTTCTTATCATAGTAATTGATTCTTTTCATCATTATTGAGTAATTCTTCAGAAGATTTCCCAATCAAATGAGGTAAAGCCAGCTAGTTTACATAATGAAGAGTCCAATTCAGGTTTGGGTTTTCACGACAAGCAAAGTAAGTCAAAATCTTTGTGCGTGGTTTCATTCCATGTAAGTTTATGCTGGTAATTGGTTGCACACAACCAGACAATGCATCTCCATGAATTCTGCTGCTGCTAAAGCCAAAGCTTTCAGAGTGTCTCACATAGGTGGTGAGCAAGGGGAAACCTCAGCTGGTGAAGATGAAAGAAATCTAAGAATCTTTCAACACACCGATACAGTATCTTTAAACAAGCAACCACTCCAATTGCTTGCAGACAGCACTGGCTTCAACCCAACTAGAGCTCTTCCATTCAGCCAATTTTGTGTTGGAAATGGTCATTTTGCTTTGGTATTTGATGGTCAATTTCACATTATTTCAGCAATACTTGAAGAAATGCTTTTTGACAATTTGTGGAAATCCTGGCTGCAGCTCATTCCACCATTTTCAGTCAAGAAGTGCCACAGGCATATTAGGGTTGGGCCATTGCAAATGGAATCCAGTTCCGGATCCATAAATATTGGAAAGTATCTGAATTTCCCCAATTTGGATGCCCAACTGTATTAAACTACTACCACCTTCACCCCCAATAGACAAGTCTCATTGCTTTGATCCCAGAATCCTGATTATCTTATTTCCTTTTGGGGACAGAGCTGCCAGAGTAAGCTACACAGGAAAAAGAACAGAGCATTTTGAGCCAAAGCACCTGGCTCTCCAGTTGTTTACTTTGTGTAAGGTGCAATTTACTCACCTTCCCTGGTCCTTAATTATTTTAATCTATATAAAATGAGGGATTGGGCAATCCCTAATTTCTCTTCTAATTCTAAAATCAAGATTCTATAATTCATTGTTCTATAGACCAATTTCTGGGACAAAGGCTAGAATCACTTCATTTCCTGAATCCTTCATTCTCAAGTTGACAAACCTGCAGGTTATCCTTTAGGAAATGAACATTCTCATCCAGGCTTCACTTAAAAATCACACTAGCATTTCTAAAATTTAAAAAAGCTTATTCTGACATAACTGTGCTAATTAACCATTTGAATGGCTTATACCAATCAGAGTATGAAGAAGAAATAAACTTAATAATTTAAGCGAAATGATATACAGTAGGTCCTCGAATAATGTCATTTCATTACAAAAATGAGAAAAAATTGGTTGGTAACATGTTGTTTCTCTTAATGTCACAGGTTCTAAGAACCTATTGATGACATTAAGTGACAACTTACTGTATTTTACAGGATACTGTATAAAACTAAAGTGCAAAATACATATAAAAATTTATTTCCAACAGATCTTCAAAGAATGTCACAGGGGAAAATTCTAAAAGATCTGAAAGTCCATAATTCTTTCTTCGTAAAGCTCAAAGAATCAAAACCAAAAAGGGTTAAATAACTTGTTAAAGAGGTACTTGGGGCAGAAATAAGACTACAAAATATGATAATTGGTGTCGGTCTGTCTTGGAGATAAGACTTCTTGTTTTAAGGTACTGTGCAATTACGCGCCCCCAGGAGTAACGGAGAATGTGATAAAGTTGTTCTTGCCCGGAGCAAAGCAACCATGTTGTTGCCTGAAAGAAACTCTCAGAAATGCTTATGCAGAGATTCCTGGACTTTATTGTCCCAGAGTGGATTTGCCCTTCATGGTCCTGAGATTTTGAGATGTATGAAAAGGAAACTCAGAATGTGTCCAGGTGCAACGAGCTGAATTAGGTGACATTACTCCAGCTTCTGTCCCCTTCTGGCCAGAAACCAAGAGAACTGAGGAAAGGGATATAAAGCAGCCTCAACTAACCAGCTTGGAGAACTACAGGGAAGGCTTAGAGATTTTCCAGGATCTCAGTCTACATCTACTATTGGGATTCCTGATTTGCCAGAGAATTGTTATGCACACATGAAACCAGGCACTTACCATGAAGTGCCCATATTTACTGCATCCAAGTAAAGAAACACAGAGTTGTTCTAAGTACTGCAAATCAAGGGCTGTATCTGTCCCGCTTCCACTGATTCTTGTAGAGTAAGCATTCCGAGTACTAACAAAGCTTCCAACCATCAAAACCTCAGTCTTAACTTATAATGAATAATAAGGAGGCTCGATTATTTCAATATGATTTCTTCACTTTGTGAAGTGTCCAAAAGCCCTAAAGCTAAGATGTTTAAAGGGGCATACTTACCCAATGTGGTTAGTTCTTAAAGAAATTTCCAGTTCTCTTAGCACTTGTGTAGATTCTTGAACACGCCGTCTGAATTTCTACAATTCAAGAACACAGTCTCACAAAACATATTTTAGCAACTGCTATAACTGCAGTTTACTTATAATAAATTTAACACAATACGAAAAATATCTTCACTTCTAACGTGGGCTTTTCTCACATTTTTTTTTTTTTTTTGCAAAGCACACAAATTTTTCTCACCATGAAAATAAGCTAATGAGAAAGGACTAGAAAAGTTACTCATTTTATGTAATAAGTGTCTTTGAGTAGATTTTATTTCCCTAGCCCACATATACAACAATATTCACCAGTATACCTATGAGTCAGGGACTCCAAGACCACCACCAGCTTCCATGATTCATTAGGAGGACTCACAGACTCAGCATACAGTCATACTCATGGTGATGATTTATTACAGGAAAAGAATACAAAGCAAAATCAGCAAAGAAAAAAGGTGCATGGGGTGAAACATGGAGGAAACCAGGTGTAAGGTTCCAGGAGTCCTCTCCCTGAGGAGTCGCAAATGACAACATGCATAAAGCTCATAAGAGAATCAGTGTCCAGGGTTTTATTGGGGCTAGTCTCATAGGCACTCTCTGCCTAGCACATAGGAAAATTCCAGACTCCCAGAAGGAAAAGAGCTATTCAGCATAAACCACGTTGTTTTCATAAACAGTTTAGGCACCGTGAGCCACTCTTACCAGAGAATGGTGGGAACCCTCCCGAAATACAAGTTCCCAGATGCCAGCCAAGGGCCAAGCTTGCAAGCAGGATTTTTTTGGGGGGTGGTTGTGTATTTCTATTTGTTTAACAGCTTTATTGAGACACAGTCACGTAATGTACAATTCACCAATTTATACAATTCAGTGTTTTTTAGGATATTCACGGAGGTTTACAGCCAGCACCACGATCAATTTTAGAACATTTCATCCCTCCAAAGCCAAAAAGACACCCCATACCCATTGACAGTCATTCCCTATGCCCCCTCAGCCTCCCAGCTCTAGAAACCACTAACAGAGATAGTATTCTGCCTCTAGAGTTTTGCCTGTTCTGGTCATTTCATATAAATGGAATCTTATTTTACTTGGTCTACTGTGATTGGCATCAACTTCCACTATTGAAGACCCATTTGGCCATAAGCACCCCTTTCATACTGAGTGTACATGACAGAATACGGACTCTGGTTGAGAACCTGGAGCAAGCACTAGGGTAGGGTTTCTTACACAGCAGCCTGGTAAATCATACAAACTCCTGAGCTCCAAGGGAAGAGAGAGTAGAAGGGGGAAGGAGGATAGAGAAAGAGGGGATGGATTCCAAGATGGCTCAGCTCTGCCTCACCAGCCAGTTCCAGCTGGGCCATGTGAACAGGACCTCTGGTGCCACCAGGACCCCACACTGAGGGCAAACTTCCTGGGTCAGACTCTAGCCTTGCCACACATTAGCTGTAATTCTTCATGTCCTGTTTCCTCATCTCTAAAAAGGGAATAAAAGTAACTCCTACTTCATAAGCTCCACATCACAGAATTGTTGTGGAGGGTAGGTGAGAGGATGCATAGACAAGAACACAGCACCTGGACGTTGTAAATGCCTGAAGCATGTTTATGCTTCTTGCTGTTGTTTGATCACAGCCATTTATATATTGTTCTTCTAAGGAAAATTTAATACGAAAAAGGGGCTCTGGTGCTTTAAAAAATAATGTAAACCATTATTCTAGGAAAACATACACCATGAAACTATCTGCTACCAGATGGCCATCTGTGTTCTGCTTGCTGTGAGCTGGGACAATGGCGAGATTTAGCTGAAACCGAAGAGTAATAGAAAGTTAGGGGAGAGGTGGGTTAGGTTGTTTCCTAGCATAAAAAGTTGATGGAAAGAATCGAGTCCTTCCTACACCAAATGTTGACCAGTACCACCAACAGGCAGTCTTCTGGCTTTATGAAACTTGTGTCTTGTCTGTGCACCTGCACTCCTCTCCTACAATTTCTTTTCTGCGCGCGCGCGCGTGTGTGTGTGTCAGAACTGCGTTTTGTTAATGTCTTATTTTTTCTTTTTTTATTTTTCTTTTTTTAAATTTCAGAATATTGGCCGGGCGTGGTGGCTCACGTCTGTAATCCTAGCCCTCTGGGAGGCCGAGGCGGGTGGATCGCTCAAGGTCAGGAGTTCGAGACCAGCCTGAGCAAGAGTGAGACCCCATCTCTACTAAAAATAGAAAGAAATTATCTGGACAACTAAAAATATATAGAAAAAATTAGCCGGGCATGGTGGTGCATGCCTGTAGTCCCAGCTACTTGGGAGGCTGAGGCAGAAGGATTGCTTGAGCCCAGGAGTTTGAGGTTGCTGTGAGCTAGGCTGATGCCACAGCACTCTAGCCAGGGCAACAGAGCCAGACTCTGTCTGAAAAAAAAAAAAAGAGTATTATGGGGGTACAAACATTTTGATTACATATATTGCCTTTGCAGGCTTTTCTAAGGATAGCAGTCTCAGGTCTGCTATGTTAATTTTTTTCTGCACGACCTAACATGTTCCAAAAATAAGCATTCAGAGCATTACCTCTGCCCCTTAGTCCTTGCTTGGAAGTTCCCTCCTTTGGAGCACACCCCAGTTCCCCCGACACGGAATGTTCTTTCTCATTCCCTTGCCTATCAAAATCCTACTTATCCTTCCAGGGCTCCTTCAGGTCTTCTTTGTTCAATGAATCCACCTCCGATCATAAATGTATAATTTCTGTATCATCCTGACTCTAAGTAATCTCCAAGATACCAATGGGCTGCATTGCCCATCAGTTCTCTGGAACACATCTTCCTACAGAAATATTATTTACAGCAACTACAGTCTCAGGTCACTCTGGAAGAAGGAAATTTGAAGCGCAACACCTCCTCAGCAGGGTTTCAGGCTTTCTGTACTACAAACCTGGGCTACCGTTATGTGACACTGTTTACAGAATACTGGCTCAGAATACGAAAGACCCTTTTCCTCCACTGCCACAGCGGCCATGGACACAGAGTCACCCAGTTCCTGGCTTCTGAGAATGGCTCCCATGGCTTGGGAGAAAGGTGTCCAAGGACAGGAAGGAAAGGAAAGAGGCTGGAAATCAGGATTACAGAACGTGGGTTGGCGAGAGCCATGCACAAGCCTGGGACCCCATGGCCCAGTGAAGACCTGGGACACTGCTCGGCACAGGCAGGCTCCTGTCACTCCCTCCTCCTCTTCTGAAAGCCCTTTGCTTCCCCACCAACTGCTCCTCACCAGGGGCCTGAGGAAGCAGATAGTCTCGCAGTTTCTCTGTAACTGTCATTCCCAGACAGTTCTAACTCTAAAAAGACCTTGTTGGGTTCTCAGGACCAAGGTATAGTGAGATATAAAAAATAAAAACATCCCCAATGCAATGACAAAACAGAGGCACTCTTCTCTGTCAAAAAAGGCCTAAGAAATGGTGGGGCCACGGATAGTGTGGAGGGCATCCAAGCCCAGAGCTTCCTGGAGCGCGTTCCAGCAACGAGGATGCTCAGTGTGGGACTTGGCGTGAAGGGCAGCAGTGCAGGATGGGTGGCTACAGGTTCTCTCTTTAAACTCTTCCCTTGCAGATAAAAACCAGGAATGGAGTAGAGAGGCGTCAACAGGCAGGGCAGGCAGCTCTGCAGCTTGGACACAGAAGGGAAGAGAAAGGAGACAAAAAACTCTAGGATCTCTGGTCACACAGCTGAGGCGACCGTTTCCAGGCAGACTGCAAAGTGGCCACTCCCATGTCAGAGTCCTAAGTCTTACACCGTCCACACAGGTGGCTGTTAGAAAGCAACTCAGCCATCCAAGCTGTGTGTTTGCACAGTTCTGACTCGTTCCCTGCAGCCTTTGCCTCTGCTCCCCTAACTCTGCCTCACACATCCTCAGGGCAAGGCCGTGCCTTCCATATGTCAGACACAAGGGCACCCAGTGAAGTACTCAGAACATAACAGAGTATAAAAGAGGATCAGCTGAAGAGCTAAGAGATCTGCATCAAGACCAGGTGACTAAATCAAAACACTATGAGGTAATAGCAGCAGCAGCAGCTGACATTGGTTATGCATCGACCGTGCCACGCAGTACGCTTCTGCAACTGCCGCAGAGCTGAGGTAACGAAACTGACTTTGCTCCTGTATTGTATGGTCTTGGGAACGGCTCATGTTTTTGGCTGGACTCTGGACTACAGAAAAGCGTTGGAATCCACTCCTGTAACACATACACAATGAGCGCTAACACTTTGTACTTCTAAAATGCATCCAGAGTGCTTTAAGGCACTTCAAAGAGAAATCACGTACCTGTGGGGACCTGCAAAAAGGAGGCGGGTAGGATCCACTAGTAGTTAGTACCATTCTCCCTTCTTCCCACCCTGTTGAGGGAGGGCCGGGGGTGAGCCCAGGAGGCAGCTGGGCCCTAGATGAGCCACACAACAGATTTCTGTTCACAACCCCAGTGCCAGCAAAGGACCAGACTCCTTTCTTCATGCCAGACGTGAGCACATCCCCTCCAAAGCACAGACTAATGACCGCCTGCTATTAAATAAGCACACCAATCTGGAGACTTCTGGTCATGGAGATATCTAATTTAGGCTCTTCCTTCCCTGCCCTAAAGGGCTGCATTTAAAAATGTTTAGAAGACAATCTAAAGAGAATAAGCTTAAGAAATTTTTTCCTAAAAGAGCAAATTAAGTATCTTCTATTCAATTTGAACAAAAGATTAATGAAAGAAGTAATCGAGGACTCCAGACACAGTTAAAAGAAGACTGCTCAGCTTAGACTGTCTGGCTAAAATTTAGAGCCCTGATTCGAAATCTTTTTTTCCCCCACCATAATATAGCTGAGAATTTTAAGCTCACTTTAACTGCAAGCCACGCCTGATTCCAAACAAATCTCCTTTTTTTCAGGCTTTAAATTACAATTACATTTGTGTTGGATAGACCATTTCCTACTGCCAGCTCCTGACAGAATCTTACCCAAGCAGGGGTGGTTAATCCAACATCCACTTGATTATTTTTTTCAGAGCTGAGTGACTAATCTTGAAAGAGGCAGCACAGACCACATGGGGCCATTCAGGTGGACACACACGGGTCCAGGGCAGAATGTCAGAAAGGCCCCAACAGACATCTTGTGTCCTGTTCCTCTTTATCAAGCTATTTGTGAGGGAGCAAAACACTTTCTGAGCAGCTTATTTGTTGTTCTGTTTCGCTTCGTTTTCTTTGCCTTAACCCAGAAATAACTAATCTAAAGGAGAACTGGAACGGTGCCAGGAGGAAGCCCACTCCCTTCCTTCCAAGCATCTTAGTCCTTATAGAGTTTGGGAGTCTAAGAAGTATTCTCTAGAAATTTACCTATTTTCTCCTTTCTTTTCAGAATTTGTTTTGGGATGGAACGAACTCTGCGTGAGGGGAAGTCTCAGTTTTGTGTACAAACATTGGCATTTCTGTCATCCTCAGCTCGGGGTGAGAGTTAGTGCCCACTGCTGGGGTCTGAGCCATACAGCCCAAAGGTTACAAAAGTTTGGGGTTCAGAAAACCTTTAGAAATCTATTCTAAAATAGAATTGTGCTGCCCCTATGTGAAGAAAGAGAACAAAATACATGTTTTGAGGAGAAGGGGTGCACTTTGTATGTATAGGTGTGTCTTCCCTGAGAACCCTCTTTAACCTGATGAAATTAAGGCTGTTACATCCTTAGGGAAAGAGACAAGAGAGAAACTAACAAGAATTAAGCAGTGGTCCCCCATCTTGGGGGCCTGACAATAGGTCTTTTTTTTTTAAAAAAGAAAAAGTGTGTGTCATATTTACGATGAGAGAAGTATTACGCCACTTTGACAGGTACATTCTTAGGAGACGAGGCTGTGTGAAACTGAAGTCACATACAGCACAGAGCCAGCAGTGAAGGTCGGTACTCTGTTTTAACGCTTACTCCCAGATTTTATTCACCCTTGTCTGCATGTTAACCCTAGGACAAAGGCCCAGGAAACTTCCAAAATGAAATAATAGCTATTCTCTTTTGCTGGACTTTTTTTTGGCAGGGGTCAGGGGAGGGTGGGTAGGAGAATAGAGGAGGGAAGGGTTAGAGTAGAAGATGATGATGGTAAAAAAAAAAATTTGTAATGCAAGAGCGGAGAGCCCTGGAGACAATGGTTAACCAGGAAAAGTACGCCTTTTCTCATGCGTCGCACACCAAAACAACAGAGGGGATTCAGGAGTTGTGGGAGGTCAATGGAAAAACAAGCGCTATCTGGTGAGGAGCCCCTTCGCCCACGTTGAGCAAGGGCAGCTCTGTCCTACAACATCCTAGGACTGATCCAGGCCCGCAGGGCTGTGCCAGGCTACATGTCCTACCACGAGGCATCAGTTTAAACCAATTGTGTGGCTACACAAAGCAGGGCTTGTTTGTAAAAAGAGAGAGTCCGTGGAACGGAATCAGCTATTCTCTCCTTACCTTCTTGGGGCCAGGGCAGGGGTTGGGGGGTCGGGGGGGTGGGAAGCTGCTAAAAGCATCAACACAGGATGTGAGTGCACAGCTGGGATGACAAAGCCCCAGTGATTTTTCAAGGTCTCTGGAAATGCACCAGGGCATGAAAGACAAGTACTCCCTTTGTAAGGCCTGCTTTTGTAGTGGCCTAAACACCTCTGGACTGGACTCACTGCCTTCCCTGCGTAATTGGAAATAGCAGTGACTTAATAACCATCAGAGGTACGTGACTCCCATCTCAGGACAGTACTTTTAAACACATCCCCAAGTAAGAAGAGTGGTATTTGTCTTCTCACATTGTCGGTCTCCAATGGTTGTTTCCTTGGAGGCTCTGGCAGAGGCTCTGTTGCAAAGGAAGGAAGGTCTCTTCCAGTGCAGTAGGATTCTGTCTCCTAATGAGGAAGCAACAGCACAGAGTGCAAACAAACCCATCTTACCTTCCTGGTTACAGCTGGGTCTAGATAGCCTTGAAGCTTTTGAATGTATGTATGGGGAGGATTCTTCACCTGGAATCGTTCCTGCAGGAAGCACAAAAATAAAGTAAAAAGCATGAAAGGTAGGAAGGCATGACACAGCCGTATCAAACAGATTAATGTTACAGATCCATGACACAATGCATCCACACTAGGAGGGTGGCCCTGCAAATGATCTTTCATTATGTGCTACTTGTTTTGAATCTTGATAGTAGACGAGGTGATCCTCCCTTTGTACAGGAGGAAAACTGAAGCTCAGAGAAATGCAGTACTTTCCTCGGATGACATAGCTAGTCAGTGGTACGAGAGGATTCTAACCCATGTCTGCCCAACTCAAGAGTCTATACTGCTTTCTCTGTAGGAGTCTATATTGCTTTCTCTCATTCTAGGAATGGTGCTTTGCCCAACCTATTTCAGGTCCTTTGTTAGCAGGTCTTCAATCTATTGCATATGCTTTTGAAAATCTTCAGGGTTGGCAAATCTTTCTCCTTTGCCAAAGAATTGACTAAACTGATAAAACTAATTTGTTTTGAAAATGAGTAATGAGTCTACTGCTAAGAGACCGGAGTGTGGGTGTGTGAATTTGTGTGTGTGCATATACATGTGTGTTATCATTAATGGGTTTCGAAGGCAGTTCCGCACTGGAAGATACAGAAATATTTTAAGCAAAGGCACAGTCATTGGAATAAGCATAAATATATTATAATACATAATATATATCTCCCAAGGTAATAACTGAATGTAGGTCTGAGGTGGGGCCCAAGAATCTGCATTTATCACAAGTTTTATGCTGATGCTACCAGTGGAGGAACCACACATTGGGAAACTCATGTATATGTTTATCAGATTTTATAGACTTAATGTCCAAAGCAGAATAGGCAACAGTAAAAATCTGAGTAAAAACCAAATCTCCACAAACTGTAAAATGAATAAATACTTGTATTACATTCACACAACAGTATACCAGATTACAACGAAAACGATGTATGGCATGCTCCTGTGGATGGATCTCACAAACCCGACGTCGAGTCAAAAAAAAACTCACATGATTTCGTTTTTATGGAGTTACAAAATTACCTGAACTGTAATGATTAGGGATACATATTCAGGTGGTAACACTATACATATATGTACAGTTTTATTGTATGTGTGTATATATATGTATGTATAAATATATACATCTATATATATCCATATATACATCTCTCTATACATGGAGAGAGATATATATCTGGAAATAATCAGTCTAAAAGTCATTGCTAGAGGACTGAGGTTGGGGAAGGGCTATGGCTATAAAAAGGGAGAAGAGGCCAGCAGTGTTCTATTTCTTGATCTGAGCAGTAGTTATTAACACAAAGGTGCTGACTTTACACGACTTACATGCTGGTTCTTAGGTTTCACAACTTTTTCTGTATATACGCTATATTTCACATGCAAAAGATTACATAAATCAGCTCTAGAAGAAAAAACAGTCATCAAGAAATGAGGACAATGCCCTTTTCCACCTATAACCCAAAAGATGTTTTCTTGCTTTTTAATTCTTTTTAATCTGATTGCTTACTTCACGATGGAATTTTCTGGTATTTCACAACGCTGACAACTGGTCAGCATGTTTAAGCATTTGTTTATCCCACATAAACTTGTATTTCTCCAACACAGGGAACCATAACATTCTTCCTGGTCCACTGAAGCCCTGACTACAGATTTATAAATGCCAATGATCATCTTACTAATATTGAAAAGATCACCTTACCATTGAAAGTATATATCTTATTATTGTTTAATACTTTAAAATAGGGAAAAGTGGTTTGTAGTGAGACCCCTATTAATATTTCCCCTTTATTTAAAAGGATTACAGTAAATTCTGTAGTATATAAACTATATCCTGACAAAGCTGTTTTAAAAAAGATCAGCATATTGTCTCTAATTATTCCTTCAAATTTTCTACTTTGAGAGCAATTTCTAAGTAACAATGTACAAGAATTCCACATCTCTGGTATGGAATACTGTGTCTGTGTCTCATGTCCTTTTTTGTTTTTTTTTTTAATCACCACTACTTCACTAAGGAATCGGAATCCTACTGCCATGGGGATTTAGCAACAGTCCAGCTGAGGGCTAAAATAATCATGGAAAGCTCTGAAAAATGAACTGATGAGCTATCTAGAAACTAGTCATTATTTCCAACCTTGTATACAACAGCTGATGCCACAGAGATATTAGGATATAAATGAAAATTATGCTTTTTAATCATACAATTCCAATTATTTAAATTTTTAAAAATCCTACAACCAATGACAACTCAAACTGTGCTACCTTCTGCTATAGCAAACACCTATCTCTAAATATAAGGTCCCTAACACATGAAACTCAACAAATTATGACTCTGGCCAATACAGTATTTACTTGAGGACCTAAAATTTGAACCTGTCAATAACTGTTGACAGGTCTATAATTTTTTGTTCTTTTAGGCTACATCTTCACAACAGAAGGACCAGATTTATTTATTTAATTTTTTTTTTTTTTTTTTTTTTTGCGTAGCAAGATTTGGTTGAGTAGCACATGTAACACATTAGCATTTGCTGGATTAGCGAATCCTATTTTTGACAGTGAGTAAATGCAGTTTTTCCCATTTCCTACTTGAGATGGTGGTAACTCGGAAGGGATTTCTCAAATATACACATTCATTGGTCCTGTTGACTTGATTATATTTCCTTAGGACTTAAAATTATGAACAAAGTCTAAATTTAATAAACTCATACTTTTTCAAATTTGCTTACAATTTGCTCTTGTGTACTAGGCACTTTTTTCACTTATTTGAGCAACTTGCTGATATACTTCCAAGAAAGAAAAAATGAGGCCTGATGTTTTAAAACACTATCGGTCCACATTATATCTACTTATACAAAAACTCAGCCTACATCCAGGGATTCAAATAAAACTGTTTTGGAGAAAGAATCCAAAGCCCCAATTATTTTTGTAAAACTTGGGGTTGTTTGGTCTAATATTTAGAGGAGCCATAGTTTGAGTTACAAATCCAGCACCTGACTCACCAAACCTTTTCTGTGTGTACTCAACACAGCCAATTTGGACAACAGAATCATTTGGGGGAATGAATGGGGAATTTCAGCACCTTGCCAAAATACATTTATTTTGAAGGACTTCAGATTAATTACAGGTATCATTTATTTAAATTAATACATTTTCCCTAAACATTAGAATTTTGTATTTCACATTAAAACCCCAAACTGCCTTGGTTGGCAGTTTTCCATCATCCTCACTTTCAGAACTGCTTCATATCCCACATGCTATTTTCAATAAATAGTTACCTATTTGCACAACATCACTGATATGAGTATCTTAATGTCCTCAAATTGAGTTACATTGTATAGAAATATTATTCTTAGGGACAAAAAAAATATTTAGTCATGGTGATTTATCAATATGAACTGATAAGCTATCTGAAAGAGCTTTTAAAACACAAATTTTCTTCAGAATGTCTAATTACATAGCATCACCACCACCCTGACCTGCTGCCATTTACCTCTTTGTGTGATCAAACTTTCTTTGTGAAATGTTTCCAGATGGGAAATATCAGTTGCTCTGGGGTTTTTAATCATTTGCCATAAGCAGTCAACAAACAGAACCCAAAGTCATTTATGAACATTCAGGTACACTAGGCCAACAAACTGCATTGGAACGGGTTTGGGAGGAAGGAGTGAGTGAGAACAAAACTTTAGAGTTACAGAATCTTCATTAACTTTCTGTGACATTTACAAATATTTTACTTTAATAAATTAGTCTGTTAGGAATTCAATTTCTATTCAGTATATCTCTCTGGTAATGATCAGAGAATTTCTTCTCACTGCTAAAAGCAACTTCATTTATGCAAAAACGCAATTACCTTTTCGCATGAGGGAAGCACTTTTGTTTCTCAAAGATTATTAACTTATCATTCAATGTTTAGACCTCTTAGCTCACTCAGTCCTCCACATCTGGCAAGTAGATATTAATTCCATTTTGTAGCTAAGGGAACTGAGGCTCAGAGATTAAATGACCTGCCTGAAATTGTGTATATGTATGTATGTACACACACACATACACACACACGTCAGATCAAAGATTCAAACACAAGTTTTCTGATCCTTAAACTGATCCTTATTCTTTTCACAATACTGTAAGAAGCATTCTCATCTTTAATTTGCTAGCACAAAAGTTTGCAAAAGGGTAGAAATATGTTCTCTTCTTCTTTGAGTACCAGTACGTAGAAGAATACTTGGCACGTCCTCAAAAATGTTCAAAGCATTAAACTTTTAAAAAATATCATATACAAGTTACTTCTCTCATAAATTAAGGGTAAGTTTTTAAAGTTTAAAAGTACACAGAGAGACTGAACAGGGCATACACCCAGCGGGTTCTGTGCTGGATATAAGTCAGCCAAATTCATTTCAGAGCAAGAAGCATTTCATGATGAGCCTGTGCTGTGTCTGTCGTGGCTCCGAAACTGTCTACTCTCTTTCATGATTACACATTTTTCATTAACCCAATCTACCGACGCTTATGCCAGCACCCCCTTCCCCTGCTGGTCAGCAGGAAGGTTTGGCTGCCTACACAAAGACCTGCCCTGCAGATAAGGAAAAGACAAAATAGTTGTGGACTCCGCTTAACGACTAAATCTACCCCAACCCAAACTGGAAAACCAGAACATTTTGAAAAGAACTAAATGAAGGGGCTGTGCCAGGGGTGTACTAATTAAGTAAGTCACAGTGAACAGAACGCATTGGCTATGCTACAACACGGCCTTTTCTGTTCCACACACGCAGGCAGCCTTAGGGTCTTTCGAACCAGCTGAGCTGTCTCTGCAGGACCCCCTATCCCTACACGTCTCCCTTCCCTTTCTCCGTTTAAATCTAATAAAGCTTGTCGCTGAAAGCCTTTCTGAATAAAGATTTGGAATTGGACACTCCACTCATCCAGCAAAGCATTTCTGATCTTTCACATCCTCTCTGTCCGTGTGTATAGTTACATGAGAAATTAATTGAGGTTAA